TGCTGATTATATATATTATTAATAATTATAATTTCTCCATTTAGAAAAATTTAAACTTTTGTAGCTTATGGTACCAGGATATTCTAAAAACATTCCCATTTATGTGGTTCTTTTTAGTTTCAGAGAAGTATTATACGTTAATCACTAAAAGGTTTTATTTCAAGTTAGGCCCACTGAGGACAGTTGGTGGTGGTATGGGACCTGACTGGAGCCTTGAAGCAAAGGTTAAGACTGTGAATGGAGTGAAGGGGATCTTGCAAGCAAGAGAGATAGGCGAAGACTGAGTAAACATTTAGATACTTACTTGCTGGTTTTGTTCACTCACAGTTTCATACCTCTTAAATTGATTCTGGTTAATAGCATCATTCTAAGTAATAATCATCAAATCCTTTGGGCTTCAGCCATGTCAGACAAGGCCATACAAATGGCTCTAAATTAAGGGCCTCATGACCTTTACAAGCTGAGGCTAAGGGGCTGGGGAGATGGCTCAGTGGAATAAGTGCTTCCCCTGTAACATGCAAGGGCCTGAGTTCAATCCCCGGTTCCACAAAAATAAATAAATAAATAAATAAAACGATACTCTGTCAGTGGATTAGATAATTTTGTGTATTTTAAGTGAATTTTTAATGAAATGTTCATTATGTTTGTGTCTTCCATTCTAGAGAGGTAACCGAAGCTCGTGAAGTCACCAGAAAACCAGTTCCTCGTAATTCTTTAGAAAGTGCTGAGTACGTTAAAGTCCTGACAGGTTTATTAAATGCAAAAGATTTTCGTGATCGAATTAGTGGGATTAAGCAGCTTTTAGCAGATGCTGAAAATAATCAAGAACTTGTTGTTGGAAACATTGTGAAGGTAAGAACCTGTCAAAAGCAATTTTCAGGTGCCAGGTGTGGTGACACACACCTGTAGTCCCAGCCCTTGGGGCTGAGGCGGAAGGATGCTGCAAGTTCACGGCTCGCCTGAACTACACAGCACAGCCCTGTCTCAGAAAAATAATGATGATAATTTCATTGAAGATCTGTGACTAATAAAGAAGTTACTAGTATAGAAAGTTGCCATAAACTTCGTATATTACTTTAAACTTTTAAAATAAATTTAGTAAAAAGAATGGATTACTCATGTTTTGCTGTTCTAACAGCATGCTGGAACAACTCAAATAGAAATGCAGGCAGAAGGCATATGTGTGTGAAATGGGCCACTTTTTAAAAAAAAGAACATTTAAGGGATTTGATACTGCTTTAGAACAGGTGTTAAACCTTTTCATATGTAGATTAGAAATCTCTATACAGCCATGTATGTGCCTATCATTTAGAGGAAAAACAAAATAAATTGAAACATTAATGTGTTTGTTACTGCACCATAATTTATGCTTCATCAGATTTTCATTAATTCTTAGTCATTTATTAACTAAATACCATTTCAAATTGTAATAATGTACACTAAACTTGGCAGACTATACCATAGCTACCTTTTAATTCTAGTGAATCAGAAAGTTACATTTTCTGATATTTCTTTAGTAAAACTATCTCTCTTGATTCAAGCATTCTGAATATGAAAAGTTATAAGCAAAGATATGATCAGGACCTCTTAATGGCCCCAGCCTCATAAAATGCTGTCCATTTACCTCACGTGACTGAAGAGTTACTTAGTGTTTATGTTGTTCTACCTTGAGTTTATGAAAGTTAAGCATTCTGAAGAGTAAAGAATATAATTACTCATGTGGTCAAATTAAGAAATAATAATAAAAATTTTACTGAGGGGCCAGAGATACAGCTCAGTGGGAGGCCATTTTCCTAGCATATATAAGGCCCTCGGCTTCGTGCTTAGCACTGCCAAAAAAAAAAAAAAAAAATTGCATCTAAAAATCTTAACAAATCCAAATTGAAATGAGGTTATACCTCTACAGTAAAACTTGCATGTAACAGAATTGTTGTGAATAAGATAGAAATTTAAATTCTTAGAGTTAGGAAAGCAGCTCCAGGCTGGGGATATTGCTCAGTGGCACAGCGCCTGCCTGGCAAGCACAAGGTCCTGAGTTCAATTCCCGGTTCTAAACAAAAAAAGAAAAGAAAACCTGCACCTTCTAGGAAATAGCTTGTGTAGTAAATGACAGTGTCTTTTACCCACTGAGCCTCATTTGTAACCTTAATTTATTAATTTGTGCTTTGAAGTGACTTCTTAAAGCCCTGTCTTTTTGCTGTAAGATTGTTCAACACTTGACTTTAGCATAAGAATTTGTATAAAGTTCCAAATGTCCAAGTTTACCTTAAGTAGGCTACAGAGGGTATGTGTTTAAGCAAAGTACTGTAGGATAACTACCTCATAATGCCGAAAAACATTAAATTTAATAACTTTAAACATTATTTTACTTTATGTGCATCCCTAATTTATTTTCAGATCTTTGATGCTTTTAAATCTCGGCTTCATGATTCCAACAGCAAAGTAAATCTAGTGGCTCTAGAATCAATGCACAAAATGATTCCTTTACTTAGAGACCACTTGTCTCCTATAATCAACATGCTGATTCCAGCAATCGTGGATAACAACCTGAATTCCAAGAACCCAGGCATCTATGCTGCGGCTACCAATGTTGTTCAGGCGCTGAGTCAGCATGTGGGTAAGAAATCCTACTTTGGTGTTCAATTTGACTTTATTTTTATACTTTGTAATCTCACATAGTTTTTATAATGCTAAAATCTAGTAACTTAATTTTTTCATTTAACAGTTCTTTTTTTTTCATTGATGAATATGAAAGAAGTACATCTCTGTGTATTTTTGTGTTACTGTGATGAAATACCTGAGACTGGGTAACTTACAAAGAAAAGAAGTTGGCCTGGGGTGGTGCGCAGTGGTAGAGCTCTTGTGTAGTATGCGCGAAGCCCTGGATCCAGGCCCAAGGTGTCCTTTCCATCCCCAGAAAGGGCTCACTTAACTAACCACTGTAGAGGCAGTGGTCCAGATAGTGTGCTGCTGGCTCTGGAGAGGAAGGTTCTTCCAGGTGTGGCACACAGCACATGATAGGATTGTGTGAGAGAGGAAAATCCCACGGGGAGACAGGAAGTCAGACGCAGGAGCTGCCTTGCCTCCCATGAGCCCCCCCCCCCCAAGGTCCCATCTCCTGTTAGCATCACACTGGGCATTAATTTGGAACACTTGAATTGCTGGGGTGCAGTCAGACCATATCCTCTCATAGCATCCCCATACCATGAAATACTACATAGCAGTAAAAAAAGAACAACCTGTGGATGTGTGGAAAACATTGCATGAATCTGAGAGGCATTACATCAGTAAAAAAAAAAAAAAAAAAATGGTGACCTGAAAATGTCATATCCTGTAGGATTCCATTTTTAACCACAGAATCACCAAGATAGTGAAGAGATTATTGGTTGTCAGGGCTTCAGGGTGGTAGGAAGGTAAGGCTGACTATATTTATTATTTGGCTCTTAAATGTCCCTGAAAGGCTTGTGTGTTGAAGTCTAGCCTCCAACCCATGGCACTGTTGGGTGGGGGTGTAAGCTTCAGGAGGGAGTCTCGCAAGGAGAAGTTAGGTCGCTGGACATGTCTTTGAAGAGACTGCTAGGGCCTTGTCCTACTCTTTCCTCCTGGCTGTCACACGCTGAACAGTTTCCTCTGTTACTTGCTCCCTTTGCAACCTGTTCTGCTGTCATAGGCCCAGAGCAGCAGGACCAAGCAGCCATGGGCTGAAACTTGTGAAGAGTGAGCCAAATAAGTCCTCCCTTTAAGTTGATTCTCTGGGCTGTTGACAGAGAGCTGAGCAGTGCAGACACCACTGTGAGGAAGTAGCGCTGATCTGCATGCTGCGCAGCCGTCCTGTGCCTTCACCATAGTGACGGTTGCACAGATTGATGCCTGCGGTACTGTGAGATAGAAAGTGCACCCGCGTCCTGTGTAGGGCGTGGCCTTCGGGAGAGAGTTACCCAGGCCTCTACTAGCTGCACAACTTCCTGGGAAGGTACAGTCGTGTACTTCAGAACCAGACATGGTGGCGCTCACCTGGAATCCCAGCACTTGCGAGGCTGAGGCAGGAGGATCACTGAGTTCAAGGCCAACCTAGACTAAAAAGTGAGTCCAAGGCCATCTTGACTTGCCTAGTGGAAACCTGTCTGAAAAAAGAACCCCCGCCCCAAAATAAATAAATAAATTAAACACTCCCTCGAAAGCAGTTCTTTTTGTTTAATAAACTCGCGGTGTCATAGAATTACATGCCTATAGAAGATAAGGCAGCTCTTTTTTATTTTTTTTTTTATTTTTTTTTCTTCAAAGTTTTATTGATAAACAGATAGCAATGAGACAGTTTCAAGTCAAATCGGAAGTACAGTTTCAACAAATAATACACTGCATATGTTCCTAGTGGTTAATTGCTCTACAAGATGTGGACTTGTGATCCTATTTACAAACATCATTAGAACAAATCATTCTATTCATTAAGAGAATGCAACTATATATCTATCCCAACCTCTTTGAATACACAGATACAAAATGGACATTCATCTGTATGCCCCATTTTTTCTAAGTTCCGTTATTGAATATTATAGGTGTGTAAACTCAGCAAAATATTCTAAAAGAGTCCAGTAGCCCATAATAGCGTTGGGTCTTCTGTTTGGCAGCTCTTTTTTAGATAGAAACATTTTATCATGTTTTCAAGGAACATGGTAGTCCCTTGAATGCTATATGAGATCATTATTTCGTCCATATCCTTTGTCTTGATGTTGGTACTGCGCTGTAGTTATGTAAAGCGTAACCTTATTTGCTCTAAGAATGTTACTGTTAAGGTTGTAGAGAATTGTACTTTAAAGTGATTAACTATAGATTTTAAAAAGTTAACACTTTGGGATTCTACAAGTGGTTTTTTTTTCCTTGTAATGCCATGTAATGGAAAATAAGATCTCATACATTTAAACATGTGTCTCTTCCTGTTTAGACAACTACTTGCTTCTACAGCCATTTTGCACCAAAGCTCAATTTTTAAATGGAAAAGCAAAACAAGATATGACGGAAAAGCTTGCTGGTAAAAACTTTTAAATTGTAATTTCTAAAGAAGTATCTTACTAAGTAAGGGTAAACTAATGGGTATTTTAACTTAATTTCAGGAGCGCATTCAATTCAGTATCATTACCTGTGAAGCAGATATAGATTACACGCTGACACCCAGCAGGACTTTTCCAGACTTTTATACTGAGCCAGACCTGGCTTGTGCCTGCTTGTTATCCTAGCACTCTAGGGGGCTGAAGCAGGAAGATCTCATGTGCAGCCTAGCCTGGGCAGTTTAGCAAGGCTCTGTCTCAGAACAAAAAATAAAAAGGGCGGCAGATGTATCTTTGTGTAAAGGTCCCTAGGTTCAGTCCCCAGTCCTGGAAAGAAGAAAAAAAGACTTTTACTCCAATAATATTCTTCAGAGTAATTTGGGTATAGGGAGTATAGCTCAGTAGCAGAGTGCTTGCCTAGCATCCCCAAGGCCATGGCTTTGACACTCATCATTGCAGTTTAAAAAAGAAAAGCTCTCCAGTATTTAATTTACCTGTTAGAAAAAAATAATGTATGAGGACATGAAAATCAAATATAGGGCCAGGGAGACAGCTCAATGGCATAAGCGCCTGACTGGCATGCACAAGGTCCTGAGTTCGATCTCTGGTACCACAGAAGAAAAAAAAGTCAAATACACACACACACACACACACACACACACACACACACACACTTATGTGTTTGGTACAGAGTCTTTACTACACGGTTCAGACTCAGTGATTCTCCTGTCTCAGCCTCCCCAGCACTGGGATTACACTGAGCCCAGTTGGTGGCGGGCTCATTGCACCCAGGGGCGGGGCTGGCATGGCGTGTGGTGCCGGAGATCGAACCCAGTCCCTGCACTTGGAAAATTACATATTGATGGTCTCAGGAAAATGTTTTCTAAATTTTTGTTTGATAACTGCATTTGGAAGCATATTTTTTTTAATTTTTTTTTATTTTATTTGTGTGTGTGTGTGTGTGTGTGTGTGTGTGTGTGGCCAGCTCAGCCCACCAGGGGGCGGGGCTGGCTGGCATGTGGTGCTGGGGGATTGAACCGCGGTCCCTGTGCTTTGCTGAGCTTGTTCCAAGTAGGTGCTTTAGACCACTGAGCCATCCCACCAGCCCATTTGGAAGCATTGAGACTAATTTTGCATTCAAATTCTCTCTTTACTGCTTCTGTCTGACCTAATTACCACTTGTAGGATTCTAATACTTGGTGACGCTTGTCTTTGAGAGGAAGTTTCTTCTAAGAAGGTTAACTTTTTAGAATAACTGCCAAAGGGGAGAAGCTTGATAGTTTTAGATGCTTTTAAATTACTGGGCCTTTAAAAAAAAAAAAAAGTAAATAAATAAATAATAGACCTTGAATTGATTTTTTTTCAAACCTTCACTCTACTGTATCTTGTGTTTCAGATATCGTTATGGAACTTCATCAGAGGAAGCCTCATGCTACAGAGCAGAAAGTGTTGGTTGTTCTATGGCACCTCTTAGGGAACATGACAAACAGCGGCTCTCTGCCTGGAGCCGGAGGCAATATACGAACAGCCACAGCTAAACTGTCAAAGGCACTTTTTGCACAGATGGGCCAGAATCTGTTACATCAGGCGGCATCTCAACCACCGCATATCAAAAAGAGCTTAGAGGAACTGCTCGATATGACCATTTTAAATGAATTATGAATCTCTTATGAAACACGGTATGATGAACAAGACAGTTTACATGATAACAAATGAAAGTTTTTTAAAGCGACATTTTGAGTGCCTGCACTTCACATCTAGGAAATTAAGTCAGCAGCTCTATTATTTGCAGCCTGTGGGTACATTTTTGTCCTCTGTCAACCCTACCACTAAACCCACACACAGAAACCGAAGCTGTAACCCACTGTTTGTGGAGCCCGAAGCACATGGACAGAGTCCTACTTTAATATTTTTTGAGAAAAGTCCTCATTTTCACTGTTCCATAGAAACTGCAACTTGTTGTCCTTTATGTACAATTAGATTTGTAATTAAAAATATAATTTTATTATGTAATCATGTTTTGCTATGTCTCATTACTCAGCCTTGTTTTGTGAAGTGGAAGAAAAGTCACTGAACTATGTTATCACAAACTAAATTTTGTGTGCTATTTGTGAAAAAACATGTATTTCTGAATCAGTCTGCTAATATGATTATGCAGTATTAGCTTGCTATTGCTGCTGTGTATGTGATATATTTGCTTATCTTTTGGGTTTTATTGTCTGCATAATTGTGAAGTTTAACAAGCTATAATAAAGCATGATGACCAAAGTTTTAGAAAACAGTGAACATTTAAATGCACGTTTAAGAAAACGTGTTGAATGTAACTTCCCTATTTTTGTGTGCAAACACTAAATTTTATTTCTGTATGTCCTAACATTTATAAAGGTGTTATTTTGCTGCCCAGTTGTGTAATTCTCAAAAATAGTGCCAGGTCTTCTATAGTTTTTCTCAGAATTCTTGGGCTTACGAGTACTGTATGCATCTTTAAAAAAAAAGAAAAGGAATGTTATAAAATAAAAGGATTTATTTCTGTAGATGTGTGACAGGTGTCCTATTTTTCCAATTTCCATCTATAGTAAAATAGAAACAATATAGCAAGTATTGACCTATCACTTTGATGTACTAGACATAATCTTGACCTATCACTGTAGACGGTGGGTCTGGTTTGTCATTCCAGCTTTACAGGAAGTGAGCCCTGTGACCTTGGGCAAGTCGTGCCTACGTGCTGAGTTACTGACCTATGTTATGTTGTAATCTGCTAGGTTCCTTAGGGGGGACCGGGCTCCTGCTGGGGAAAGAACTCGGGCTGTGGAGTGCTCGCGTGGACTCTGCCATTGAGCTGCATCACCACCCCTACTTGGCTGTTTTTAAAACTTTATTTCTGTAGTTATCCACAATTTCTGAGGAAAAAAAACAGGGTTTGCTGCTATATAATTGAAGCTAAGCTGAAAGGAAATACCTTTTTACCTTTTCTGTTTATATGTACTATTTGATAGTTACATGCATATTTTTTAAACGCCTTATATGCCACGCATGGTGCATGCCTGTAATCCCAGCACTTGGGAGGCTGAGGCAGGAGGATTGCTGTGAGTTCAAAGCCGGCCTGAATTAGAGTGAGACCCTGTCCCAAAAAACTTTTTAAAAAATAAATAAAATGCCTTATATTCTAAGTGTATTTTATCCTGTAGTTTAAATAGGATGAACTAACCCTATAGTTCAGATCTCAAGTTGGCAGACTTTCCTGCGTACAGCTAGAAACTAAGTATTTTTAGCTTCGTAAGCCCCAGAGACATCACGTCATAGCAGTTTTTCCCTTTGAAAGCATAAAAACCGTGAACCAAGCATGGTGGGGCATGCCTTCCATCCTTAGCTACTTGGGAGGCTGAGGTCAGAAGATTGCAAGTTTGAGGCTAGCCTGAGCATATCAGATCCTGTCCAAATAATAGTTTGGATTTTTCTTTTTTAATGTAAAAATACATGGGCCAAGACACCCGCCTTAACCTGACCCTCTGCTCCCAGGAACTCACCACCCCCATCCCTGTCCAGACAGCGAGAACCTGTGGTTAGAGGGGGACTGAGGCCCCATGGGAAGCGTTGAAGCAGAGGTCGGACAGCTGCTTTTCCAGAACTCAAAACTACATCAGAAAAAAGGGAGTTGATATCAACAGTTGATTAATAGGACTACAAATACCGGAACTTGGTCAGATAAAACAGATTGGGGGATTCCTTTTATTATAAAGAAAACTGTGATTAATATAGCAGGATCCTACGCTAAAGATTTTCTATGTTTTCATAACTCCTTGATATCAAGGATTAAGAAGTTTATTGCCATTTTCTGGGCAGAGCCATGCGATAAGCAGAGACTTAGTAGCATGAAAGTAAGTCCAGAGCCTGCCTGTATGTAGCAAATGGATTGAAATGCACCTTGGGTCTGTGCCTGTGTAAGGTGTTAAGAAGACTCAAGGTGACGAAGTTGGAAGAAGTAGTAATGTGCTTATTCAGAGCTCAGAACTAGACTCTAAAAGTAAAAGAAGCAATAAGAATTGAAAGTTTGGACCTTAAAAGTCTGGTGGCAAGATTGACTGTGATAACACTTACTTAGATGTGGAGGATAAAGCATTAAGTGTTACTGAAGTTCCTAACACCTGTGTCTGGTCAGTGATGGTGTGATGAAATGCAGAATGCTGGAGAAGGAGGTTGTGGAAAAAGATGAAAATAGTGAGCTTAAGAGTGGTGCCGCATGCCTGTAATCCCAACACTCGGGAGAGGGACGCAGGAGGATCTTTGAAAGTGGGAGACCAGCCTGGGCTACAGAGTGAGCTCAAGGCCAGCCTGAGCTGCATAGCAAGACTTTGTCTCAAAGAAACAAACACCTGCTTAGAGGAGCGCAGCTGGCTGGGGTTTCATACCCAGCAAAGTGCCAGCCCAGCCCCCGGGGTGCACTGAGATGGCAATTGAGACTGGGCGCGGTGATGCACACCTGTAATCTCAGCGTTTGGGAGGCTGAAAACAGGAGGATCACTACGAGTCCAATCTGTAGTGAGACCCTGGAGACTCTGTACTAAATACATCTTTAAAAAATTGCTGGGGCTGGGGATATAACTCAGCGGTCTAAGCACCTGCATGGCAAGCGTAAGGACCCAGGTTCAATCCCCAGTACTTCATGCCCTGCCAGACCCGGGTGCACCACTTCCACCATTGAAACCAGGCATGGTGGCACACACCTGTAATCCCAGCGCCGGGTGGCTGAGACAGGAGGATTACTATGGTTTGAAGCTGCATAGCAAGACCCTGTACCAAATAAATAAATAATTTAAAAAATAAAACATCATTTACTCAGTGTTGCTATAGTCTCCCACCACAAGGAGTACTTAATCCAGCTTGCATGAGATTCATTCTCAGTGTCTCAATTCCTTAAGAAGAATACATCAGATCCTAAAGACCCATCAGCAGTAAGTACCATATCACTTTTTTTCTTATGTAAAAGCATTAATTTTTATACAGTTTTAAAGTCTGACTATGAAGATTAACATTCAATATGTGCAACAGATGGAGCAGGAAGACACATTTTTCCCTGCTACTATGCGTCTGGCTCAGTTTTCATTTTTAGATTTTATTTTTTTCTTTTTCTTTTTTTTTGTGGTAACCAGGGATTGAACTCCGGACCTTGCGCTTGCTAGGTAGGTGTGAGGACCAATGAGCTATATCCTCAACCATTTGGGTTTAATAATGTCAAAACCAGAGAAGAGAGCACCGAGCTAAATAAGTGCTGTCTCTCAACTTAGCTGATCAATTTGTCCTCCGGTCGAAGTCGTGTTGTTTTCCTGGATTTCACCTAACTGTAAATGAGATGCTAGTACCACTTAGAGAAAGAGTCAGTTTTAGAACATTTATGCCTATCAAGACAGCTAAATGTGGCATAGAGGTACAGGTTTCAGCTCATGCTAGCATTCACTACATGGTAAATGCAGAAATATATGCTAGCGCTGACATGAAGACAGCTAATACGACCAGACCCACCTTACGCTACAAGAGTTGTTACGTTTGTGGAATGTATTGAATGTACTAAAAGAATATTACTAGTCACAATTGGTAGAGCTTAGTGGAACTTCTTCTTGATGAAATTAAGGAAAAATTGACCTTTGTAGCATTTGGGGAAAAAAATAAGAGGTCTATACTGTACCAAGTGAGTTTTTTTTTAATTCTTTTTTTTTAAATTTTTTTAACATTTATTTAGTGTGTGTGTGTGTGTGTGTGTGTGTGTGTGGCCAGCTCAGCCCACCAGGGGGTGGGGCTGGCTGGCATGTGGTGCTGGGGGATTGAACCGCGGTCCCTGTGCTTTGCCAAGCTTGTTCCAAGTAGGTGCTTTAGACCACTGAGCCATCTCTCCAGCCCCCAAGTGAGTTTTTACCAAATAAAAAATGCAGTTCAGACACAAGCATTTGGATGCTTTGGATTTTCTACTCTCAACAGTTTAGTATTGTATGTACAAAAAGATTAAAATTTCATTAATAGCAAGTTATGTACCACAGGATTCTGTTCCCAAAGAAGTCAAGAAGCCTGAAATCGTTCCCTTTTATAGTAACACAAAAGGACGCTCAGTGGCTCAATTGGTTAGTGCGTGGTACTTTCATAATGACACAAAATCTGGAGTTGTTGCTTTAGATACAAAATGTGCATCATATTCAATGTCCGGGGGAACCATCGGTTGGCCAGTGGCAATTCTTCATGCTATTTCAAATGTTGTGGGTGTACAGTTCCATCTATTGTACCAGTTTGCACAATGAGATAAAGTAATGGCATTTTGATTTTATGAAAACCCTAGGAATAAGGCTAGCCGAAAAAAATCTGCTTTCCAGAATGACTCTAAGAAGTGCCCAGTAAGCATAAAAACTTATAGCAGAAATCTTGGGACTGGAAATTTCTGTTACAGAAAAATAAGAGCCCAGACAACTTACTGACAAAAGGAAGAGAAAAAGATTGTCCACGTACCTCAGGGGCAAGGACAGAAAAACTGCCATCTAATGCCACACTTGTAAAAGGCCAGTTTGTAATCAGTGCTGTAAGAGACTTTGTCCTAAGTGTCTTGAAAATCAAATTTTTAATGTTACAAATACACTTATGTAATGTGTTTACAAATAAAACTTTTGCAATTTTTTTTTTACTTCTATAAAAAATTAAATGTATGGGCCTGAGGATCTGTAAGCGATGTATATGAAACTACAATGAGTCAGTCTGCAGGTTCACCAAGAAAAGAAATGCTGATAGCAGCGAAAGAGAACTCCGGGTGAGCAGGCGTTGTCTTGTATACACAGCCGGGTTCAGCTGTGGATCTGGGAGCCCCCTTTATTACAAAATGTCCCTTGTTTCATGGCCAAGTGAAGATCCGCCCAGCTAGGTCCTTCAATGAGTTGGTCACTGCATTGGGAATTGTATGTATGGGTAACAGTGCTGAAGTGGAGGGCGGGTTCCTCCCACCCAGAGGTGCAGTTCTCTACTTTTTCAATCTATTGTTATGACTTGCTTTGCCAATTCAGCAGAAGCAACTATGTGTCAGTTTCATGATTTGCTGAATCAGAGGAGTTGCCAGGTGAAATACAGACCATCAATTAAATCTGAATTGCAAGTAAACAAAAATTTTCCTTTTTTTGGTGGTGGTAGATGGGCTTGAACTCAGGGACTTCACACTTAGCTATCTCCCTAAACCGTTTTTTTTTTTTTTAACCACAGGACCTCAGTATGTCACTATGTTGCCTAGACTGGGCTCAAACTTGGTGATTGTCCTGCCTCAGCTTCCAGAGTGTTGGAAAAATAGGTGTATACCACCCTGCTAAGCTCTTAATAATTAATATGCAATGTCTCAATGTAATGTTTTTCCTGAAATAAAAATTAGAATGCTATGCACTATTTGGATTACTTAAGACACTTTTCATCGTTCGCTTGAAATTTAAATTTAAATGGATAAACGCTATTTTTATTTGCTAAATTGGATAATCATAAAATGAGAGAATAGGCA